AACATTTGTGGTGTGTCTTTGGCCATTTTCGAGTTGGAATACTCGAAAATATTCCTGTCTGTTCTGCAAACCGAATCCAAGTAAATTTCTCGTTTGAGTTCCTATAATTTTTCTCGTTTTAAAACCGAGTACACAAATCTAGTCGAAAGTAAATTGAATCTAATAAATTAGATAATTATTTTTGGCAGTTTTTAATACAATTGCAACTTAATATAAATGCTATGGGCATTTTAAACTCTTTTTCATTTAAATATGTTTATTTTTCTGAATTTTACGTTCAAATAAAAATTCGATTTGCAGAACACCAAATTCGGGACATGATTATAATAATAATCGGTATGTTTTTATCTCTTAAAGATACTCTTATCCAAAATTCGGTCCATAATCTTTGTTATTTGTCAAATGAGTCCAATTTCAAAGTCAGAAAAGTTATTCCAGACCATGACTGAAGCTCCATTATGCCTCCATGTACCTCTGCAATACTGAGAATTATGACTGTTGCTTACTAAATTTTTCACAGTAGAGTTCATGCTTGATCCATTCAGATTAAGTTCAGCTTCATCGGAGAACTGAATTGGGTCACTATTTCGACGGGTCTGAACATAATATTAGAGGATCAGACATGAAAAACTTTACTGTGAGAACGCAAGTGAATAGCTTTCATAATTCTCACCATTGCAGAGGTACATGGAGGCAAAGAGGAGCTTCAGTCATGGTCTGGAATAACTTTACTGACTCTTAGGTTTTGTTTATTTATTCGTACCCCATCTTGTATTTCTCCCAGCACGAGATCCACATTTCTTATATATTGCATACAATCCTCGCAAATAAATCTAACAAAATTACTTGATTCTAGAACTCCGATCGAATATTGGTCTACACCAGAGCATTTTTTTGTACAATGATATATTTTATAGCAAACACCATTCCATCTTATTCCCGTCTCTCCCCTAATTGCTGACTTGCACGCACTACAGTCAGTCATTTTGGGTTATTTTTAAGATTATTTCTTTATGTTCACTAATATGATTAATGTTTTAATAGTCTGTTTATTTATTTTTTTTTTTTTTTTTTTTTTTTTGTTTACACTGTTTATTATTATAAGATATCGAGTATTCCAACTCGAAAATGGCCAAAAACATACTACAAAAGTTAATAGATGATAGGAAGGATGCATAAAATATTCACGTTATTCATGGAGATCGGTTCACATAATGAGATAGAAAACTACAAGATCAATATCTTTGATTGCATAAAATACCGATGGAACAGCATTTCAAAGGATCAAGTAATGCTCCAGAAGTCTTCCATGACTCAAAGATGTGCTTCTGCTATAATAAATGTGGATATGCTATAAATTATTATGTTAAAAATTAATTTAGAAAATATTATTTAAGAAGTTGCTTTAGTTTTTGCCAATTAAAATCTTGTATTAATTCCTTAGGTTAGGTTAGGTTTGGAAGGGTTATACACCGTAAAAACGGTGTATATCCACTCGGAGACCATAAGGTCCATTGTGATTCCCTTCAAGAAGTGAAGATTCAAAAACAGAGAAGCCAAAACACTACCATAACACAAGAAAATCCATGTCCCCCTATAAAGCCCAGTTAAAGAAGTTACTAATTCCCTTGACAAAACCTAGTAGACTGCGAGGGTTAAGTCCCGCAATTTCCTCCAGTTCGCCATGGAACCTATTCCCTAGCCATTTCAACCTGAGGTTCTGTATTAATTCCTTTCTATGTATTTAAATCATATTTAACAAAAAAATATTGAGATTTTTTTTTATTATTTTTTAGTTAGACCTCTTTCAGACTATGCCTTTTGAGTCAATATGCACTAAGTAAGGGAAATCGTTAAGGCAGCTGATTTTTATTTGTTTATTTAAAAGGAGCTTGGGCTGTGTCAAAATAAATTAATTTATTTATTTTTATTCTAAAAAAAATTGTGTTTTCAAAGAAAAAAAAAATCAAATTTAAAATTATGAATTAAAATGTTCATAACAAGTTTTCAAATAAGAAAATTCAGATGAAGAAAAAATATTGTGTTTGTTACCGAAACGCTCCCACCTTACTTATTACATCATGTTTCAAACCCTTTTTATTTATTTTTTTTTTTAACAAAATAATAAAAAAAACGATATTATCGTTCTTTGGTTTATTACATTGGTGAAGGATATACAAAGGCATTTTTTAATTTAATAATTTATTTGTGTACGTACACATATACTTATTTAGGAATTATTATAAAAGGCATTCAAGCAACGAAAAACGTCTTTATTGTATCCTTCCAAATATGGACGACCAGTCTTGTAACCGCATTCAGTAAACAGGTCCATGTTCGATTCGTGGAACCAATAATTTTTCAAATCACCGTTTTCGCCCAGAGCCAATGTATTTAATTGAAAAATACCAAAATGAAAAGTTCGCCCATCTGTCTGAATACTTTGCACCACAATAGGTTTTGGTAAATTTTCTAAAGCAGATTCCTTTACAAATGAAAAAAGAAAACGATTTTAAACTATAATCTATACACAAAAAAGACTGCCAAAGAAATGCTTCTTACTCCATATAACTGTTTAGCTCTTGCAGCAGCCACAGCAAAAGCTTTCAACATTGTTCGACTCTGAAATTGTGTTATTGTCACACCAACCTCATGCAAATTACCGACAAATTCCTTGTTGAAAAATGTAATAATTGTGTGCGGATTTGAAAAGTTAATCCTTTTGCTAAGTGCTAAGAAAAACAATCATTATTATTTGTCCATTTTTTTTTAATAAAAAGGTCTCACGATAAAATGTTTCCGTTGTGTATACATTTTTCTTTGGCAAAGAAATTGTGTACTTTATGGGATATAAATCGGGTAATTCTCCATCATATTTAACTTTGATTTGTTCAATTGGTCGAGTAGATGTTATCAGTTTTTCAGCCGATACTTCAAATTGCAATAAATCGTCACCTTTGGGAATGGTAACTTTGAAATCAACTTGATCGAGCAGTTGACGGCGTGAGGCGACAGATCGCCCCGATAATTTTTCGCATTCAGTAATCAATTTGTTAGTCAGCAAACGACTGAAATAAATTTAATAAACAATACATATTTAATAATTTAAATATTTGCTATAAACCATAAAATAAACTTCCTAACTCGGCACGGATATTGTTTCTTCACACTGATGTTATAACTGAAATTGTTCGATACACCGTAAGGCTCTTGTGATAAAACAATTATAGCAAAGATCATTGCGACTATTAAGGTGTTTAAATGACTTGAAGAATTCAATTACATAGTTTGAAATATTTTGTACTTACTTTCTACGCTGGTGGGAAATTCCATAATCTCTTGGTAGATTAAATGCAGGTCTATCCGGTAATTTGACTTTTGGTAATTTTACTTGTTCCGCATCCAAAACATGTGATGCCATTATCATTTGATGAACATGACGATCCACATTGCTAGGTAATTGTATTTTTGTTATAGATTCTTCGATTGTTTTTGGAAAACCTTTTACTTCTATTGTTTTAGTTAGAACTTGAGCTTGCTGCAAACCTTCTAGTAAAACGTTAGCATTTCCATACATATGGCATTTCTGCTGATGCCAATCCGGATGGGTTTCATCTTCTGGCAAAACTACTGGATGATTTCCAACAATTTCAAAGCTATAAATGTAGATATTGTAACATAATTTAATAATGTTAAATAATCAATGTATTACCGTAGTTTTTCCACTTTGGGTTTGATTACATCTTCGACATCTTTAACCTGAATGCCAAGTTTTTCTAATTCGGTAGCAGCACCGGTATCATTTGGTACACGTTTACCCTGTATTTGCCAATGTTTCTTAAACGTCCAGCCCAAGTGTTGGGCATATAATCTTGGAGAAAAACGCATTTTAATTCTGAATTAATCCAGCAATTTTAACTAATCTTTTACCGAAAAAAGAAAACAATTTTTTTTAAGGTTATCTAATAATAGTGATTATACAGAGTTGTAAAATGTACGCAGTTGTAATATTTCGTAGTGTCATGAACACAATGAAAGCGACAGGCAAAAAAAGATTAGATAGAATCTTAAATGCAAATTCGGCATTAAAAAATATTGAATTGAAAATGCACAATATAAATAGTTCTGCTAAAAGTAAAAAATCTTCGTTCTCATATTGGCACGATGGGTGCGGAGGTATTTTATCAGTAATCGTGTATATGAAAATTAATCTTTCAATATGCACATAATTTTATTGTGTTGTATACACCTTATTCGCTATAGCGGAATATACAGTGGGTACGTCTCAAATAGCACGTTTTATATTAGCATCTACATTTTATTTTAAAAAGAAATTCAACGACTTGCACTTCGTCATATTGATGTCAAATTCTTAGAATAAAAATTTTAAATTTCTTTAAATAAGATATTTTTCATCATAAATCCGTTTCCTTAATTTGATGCAAAATATATATGTGTGCTATTTAATTTGTCGAATCAAGTTCAAATATTTTAAAAATATTTATGAAAATAAAACCAACATTGTAATCATTTAACAAAAACATGACGAACATTACCTGATAAAAATATTTTACCTTAAGTGATGAATTCCGTTTTTAAATAAAATGCAGCATGTTCAATGTAAAACGTTCTATTTAAGATGTCGCCACTGTATACCGATATCCGATGCCGCACATCTCATATGTATTCACTGGAATATCAGCGATCACACATGATTTTAAAAATATATTTTTCCAACACCCATAAAAACGACTAAATTATTACATGAAGAGAATCATTTATATCACTAGAAAATAAAACTATATGAGAAATTTTGAATTCTGTGCTTAAATCCCATTGCATTTTATTTAACAAACAAAACATCAAAAAATAATTAATAATTTATAAAATATTTAAAAACATCTTTCTTTTAAATACAAATTGGTTGCGGCCATCAATTTAATATTTTATTTCATCCTTGGCAAACCAATAATAATTTACAATAAAATAAACGGGATTTCTTACACTACAAAAAATATAGAAATACTTCCCACATTATTTATTACATATTAATATTATTTGCTTGCAATCGGAGCGGCCATGGAATTGTTAAGTTAGGAAGTATTTCTCTGCTGTTTGGAGTTGCTTTACAATAGCAGAAATGAATATATTTAAGGGAATTTTAGTAGCAAATAAAACAACTTATATCTATAAAACTTTAGTCTTAATATAATCAAGCTTACAATCATCATCACTAATATCAACGCATTCTGTATATGTTGTTTTCGTGCACTTCCGAGTGTTCCCCCTTAAAGTGCACCTCTATATTAAAATCAAGATCACGGTTGTTGCGCTCGTTGGGCTTCATTTTAAATGTGCCCTTTATTTCTTCGCCTTTCTTGACTGTCAAGTATTCATCCAAATAAAAGACAGTCTGTTTCCAATGTGTGTATGTGGCCTCAGGCGAAGTGCTGAAGCCGAGACGTTTATGGCACTTTGTAAATTCGATATTGAAGTATGTAACTAAAGCCTGCACAAAATCGTTGCGTTTAATAATCAAACTAAACGGTGATACAAATTCCAAGTCAGACTTTTTAACCGTATACAAATCGACTTCCTTAATGAGATACGACGTGGACACCACCTGTTTTGGATCGACTACATCGACCAACGGCTCGGTTACAGCAACCTTGCGAATACAACTCATATCGAAGCCATAAACATCATCCCACCAATTGATTTTCTCATCTTTATACTGGCGATCTTCAATAGCAGTGATATAAAGGGTGCCGCGATCTGGAAACATCATACCATCAGATTTTAGCCACTTGTCACGAGCGAACAATACTGTATCCAACATGGATTCATAAAACAGACAGTATCTGAAGTGATATGCACATAATTACTTTTATTTTCTGAAATATGTATAATTAATTAATATCTATACTAACCCCATCCACTCCGAGATGATAATGTCCACTTTCTCAATACCATTTGGCAACTCTATATCCTCAATTTTACCCTTAACCACTTTAATAACATCATTCAAATTGTTGTCAATGACCACTTGGCGGGCATATTCGACAATATTTGAACAATCCACTGCAATAACAGTGGACGCACCGGCCTTGGCTGCAAACATCGACAGAATACCAGTACCGCAGCCCACATCCAATACCACCTTGAAGGTTAAAATTCATTTTCAAGAAATATTCTTTGGTCACCAATCTATTTAAGACTTACCTTTCCCCTGAAAAGGTGCTTATTGTGATACATGGCATTGCGGTATGTGATGGTTCGTACTTCATCTTTCAACATCTCCTCGTGTATACCAAAATGAGCATAGGAATCAAAGTAGTAATCACGAGAAGTCATTTCCTCAGCCGTTGCTACCTTTCCTTCGCCATCGGTGGCCGATTTCTTTATTACATTATTTACCGATTCGTTGGCATTATTGGTGGACTGCATAATAATATCCTCAGACTAAATGAATACACCACAAAAAGCAGAAAAAAAGCGTGTGTGAGAAAGGAAGTCAAACAAGATGCTGCCAAAAAGCACACATTCAACTTTTGAAAACCCGAAAAAACACTTACCATTTTCTCTTGCAAATATTTCTATATAAAAGGAAGTGACTTTAAAATATCTGGTAGCTGCTTACGAATAGAATTTTCTTTAAGATTAAACAAAACTTATTTTCACGTTCTGCAAATTTATCTTCTTCTATTCTGTTCAGTTGATTTCAGTTCAGAGACCGCGCGGTGTTCAGAGACCTGCGCTGACAAAGATAAACGACGGCGGAGGCTAAAACTATAATGTTCGGCGACGGCTTAAAATCGAAGGTAAGGCTGCGAAGTTTTCGGCTATGTTTTAAAAATTTTCAACAATATGTTATTGAAATTTATGAAAATTTTAAATTTGTTTTTTAAAATTTATAACCACTGAATAACAAGAAATGAAAAATTACCCAATTCATCTGTCAGTCGGTATACATTAGCTTTGTTCCTTTACTTGTCATGTTTGCAGGTTTTTACCAGAAATTGTAAAAGAGAACAAAATTGAGAAATAAAAATTGTTTTCTCTTTGCCAGAACTTGCAGGTTTTAGCCAGAACATTTTTTCCTGGCAAATAGAAAAAAATTTGTCAAATAAATTATTTGTTTATAAAAATACATTGAAAACAAAAACTGTTTAAAATTTTTGATTTATTTTGATAAATAAGTATGTGTGATTGTAGTTTTTCAATTTTATTTTAATTTTAATAGAAATTTGTATGAATAAACTTCAATACAAATTTATTGAAAGAGAAATTTTGTTTTTTCTGTTCCCGTACTTTTTACAAGTACGAAGAGAAAATTCATTAATTCTCTTTAGCCAGAAAAGTTCTGGAACAAAGCTATTACATTTAAATTTATACTCTGAAAAATTTATTAAAATATTTTGCACATATATTATCTATTATTTTATTCTTATTTAAACGATAATATTTCCCATTTGTGCAAGTGAACAAGTTTATTAGATTTGTTTCATGAACACCTTATTCAAATTGCAATATTTGTAAACATTTTAAAACAACGTCAAACGAAATTAATGTTAATACATTAATTAATGTTTTTTGATACAATGAAAGTATTTTAAACAAATAACATATGAACACTTACGACTATAATGTATTATTCTAATTAATAAGTCCTAATAAGAGTTAAAACTATTAATTGATACAAACGAAATTAAATAGAAATTATTTATACAAGAAATTTAAAAAAATTCGCTTAAAATGTATACATTCAAGTTTATAAATTTAAAGTGAGCAATATAGAGCTTATTTATTAACGTCCGTCCAGATAACAACGAAAAATAGTAACGGCAGAGAAAAAATTCGAGTTTTTGGGAATTAAGTGGCAACACCACAGGGGAAAAATAAATTGCTTAGCTAATAAAAAATTCCATGGAAAACTCAATGGAAAGTGGTGGGAAACACAAAATGGAATCAATACTAGTATAGTCTTGGAACTGTAGTTCCTTGTAAAATTAGATTCCTCTAAAATGGTCAGTTAAATCGTTGCTGGTGAACTGTATAGGATCTAAGGAGTGTCGCGCCAAAAACTCCTTGGAATATGGTTGGAGACATGGTAAGGATTAAAAAAATATGGTAGGAGACATGGTAAGGATTGAAAAAATCCTTCCTGCAAAAAATCGGTAGAGCAGATCTTTGGAAAATTGGCTTCTCCCAAAATGGTCAGTAAAATCGTTGCTGGTGAAATGTATAGGATCTAAGGAGTGTCGCGCCAAAAACTCCTTGGAATATGGTAGGAGACATGGTAAGGATTGAAAAAATCCTTCCGTGCAAAAAATCGGTAAAGCAGATCCTTTGAAATATGGTCCCTCCAAAATGGTCAGTAAAATCGTTGCTGGTAAACTGTATAGGATCTAAGAAGTGTCGCCCCAAATACTCCTTGGAATATGGTAGGAGACATTGTAAGGAAAATCCTTCCTAGAAAAAAATCGGTAGAGTAGGTCCTTGGAAAATTGGATTCCTCCAAAATTGTCAGTAAAATTGTTGCTGGTAAATTATACAGGTTCTAAGAAGTGTCGCGCAAATTATTCCTTGGAAAAGTATTAAGGATTAAAAAATCCTTCCGTGCAATATATCTACCGACTAGATACTTGAGAAGGTGGAAAGTAGAGTTTCCAAATTCCCGACCTTTTTCGATTCCCGGGAATCGGGAATAAAAATATCGTATTCCCGGGGACCCGGGAATTCCCGAGAAATAAGAAATACATTTCAACGGTTTTTTTCAAAATTTTATTGAATTTTTTAACAAAAATAAAATATACAGTAAGTTATAAAATCAGGTAACTCAGAAATATTATAATTAAAATAAAGTAAATTAAATAAAATCAGATAATTCATACACAGAAAAAATTAATTTTAAAAAATTTTCAATTAAACGATTAATCAAAAATTTTAAAAGGGTTCAATTCATTTTGTATTTGATTCATAAAAATGTATAATCAAATACGTATTTAACAACAACAAAAATAGAAAAAAATAAAAATTTTGTATACGAAATCAATTATAAGTAGTAATTGAATATACAATTTTTGTTACAGGTTGAACTTCAAAAAATAAAATAAGTGAAAACGAGGTTTTGGTAATTGAAATCGTTTTTCAGTTTTTTCTGTGTAGATATTAATTAAAAAAAAAAAACATTTAAATGATAATTTTAATTAATAAAACAATTGTTTGTAGTCTTGAGTGAGATTGATAGTTAAAAAAATACTATTTAATTTTGCATAGGTATTAGTTTTTATTATTTTCAATAAAATAATATTTTAAAATCACCAATGCGTTAATAGATTTATCAGACAAACGGTTTCTAATTTTCTTTACAATATTTCCAGAAACAGAAAAAACACGTTCGCTCTCTACGGAAGTAGGTCTTACTATCAATAAAGCATTAAATAAATTATCTAAATTTTCAGTTCTAGTGCTAGTTACTTCAAACATTAAAAATTCTTTTTTTAAGAGTTGATTATATGATGTCTTGGACCTTTTACCTTCAGACATTACATTTTCTATAGCTCGGTTAAGCTTATCTTGAAATGGTTCCATTTTATCCTCAAATTCAATTTCAGAGTCCGATTCTGTATATGGTACTAAATTATTTTGGAATAATCTATTATACAAATTTTCTCCAAATGCTAATATAGTTGCTTTCGATGAGTTTTTAAAAATTATATTTTAATTTTGGATGCTTTAAATAACTCGAAATTTTTTAAATATTTTAATAGCGTTATGATTTCTACGTTCCGAAATTCATTTCGTAAGAGCATCAATTATTTTTTTTTTTTTTGATATAAGATTATCTTCTGCAATTAATTTTTTAAAAAGTTGCTCTATTATCGCATCTGCTTTTAAAATATTCGCATCACGACGACTTAAAGCATCTACTTATATTTCAATTGGATATAAAACATTGTACAATGATTCTAAATTGTCGAAGTTATCATCAACGTCTTTTTAATACAATTTTTAATTTTTAGAAATGATTCCATCATTGCTAACAGTGAGTTCCGCCGTGTTTTTATATCTAGACAGAGTTGTAATTCTTTACCAAATTCCGTTTTAACATAAGTTTGCAACGTTCCGTTTTTTAATGGACTTCGTTTAATACATTTTATATTTTTTCTCACATTGTTTAAAACACTGGAGTATTATATTATATGAGTTATTTTCTTCAGTTTCGTCGAAATTGTCAGTGTCATTGTGTTTGAGACAAAGTATTCCACATGCTGGACTTTCACTAATGAACTTTTTCATTACGTTTGGTCCATCTGAAATTGTAGAAACAATATGTTCTTTTAGGCTTTGTATTCATCAAGTTTTGTTTCGACATTTTTTCTTAATTTATTAATTAATATTATTAATATTTGCGATGATCGTTATTTATTTGTTCGAAATAATTCAAAATGAATTTCATTATTGTAGTTTCCCATTTGGGAACAGCAAATCCTTTTCTTGCTAATGATTCTGGGATGAATGAACTTCGTGTTATAGTTCTTATTGAAATTCCATCAAACGCAGCTAATTTCGACAAGGTTGCATTCAGGCCATCACTTTTAACATACTCATCAATATTTCTTTGTCTTTTGATGGGAGGCGAATTTTCAGCATCGATGTTTTTGTTGTCGGACTTTTGATCTAAATGATGAATCTTTGCAAGATGCTTCACTAATCCACTTGTGGATGAACCTTTATATGACAGTATCTTCGGATATAAGTTGCACTGTGCGTTCCTTTTGAAAAATAATTCCACACAAAAGATTTCTCCATTGCCTAGGAAGTATTTATTATATGTTAGTATTAATACTTGACTGAATACTAGTATAACTTGACAAAATTGTGCATACCATTACATTTAGTTAAATTCTACAATTATTATTTTTTTTTAAATTTGTTTATATGAATTTGCAAGATAAAATGTTCCTTTGAGGAGAGTAAGAATGAGATTAAAATTGCACGCTCAAAGCGTAATCTGGCTTTCCGTGCCCTCAGGGAAGATAATTGTGAATATAATCGAAACATATACCGAATTAATCGGAACAAACTTAAAAGTTTAATAAGGAGATATCGGAGAAATGCAAGTATCAACTTCTTTTCCAATTGCAATCAAACACAGTTCTGGAATAGATTAAGATCTGAAGCGGCTATTGCAAGTAAATCTGAATCAAGTATAGTGAATGTTGAGGAATTTAATTGTAATTCAATACTACCTCCCATTGTTGATGAAGGATGTTGGAATGTTATTTTCTCATCTAATATGGGGTTTTCCTTTAGAACAGTGGATGAATTGGAAGTATATAATGCCATGAATAGTATTAAAACTAATGCTGTAGGATATGATGGCATACCTATTAAATATTTGAAACTGATTTTTCCTGTTATAGCAAATCCTTCAATTTTTATTTTTAAGAAAATAATTACCACATCTGAATTTCCAAGCATTTTGAAAATTGGAAGAATAGTGACGGTTTCCATGATTAAATCCCCAAGATTAGCAACTGACTTTCGGCCGATAAGTATACTTTCCTGCTGTTCAAAAATCTTGGAGATTTTATTGAGGAATCAAATTCAGGAGTACCTAGGAGAAAAGGTATTGTTAAGCACTTTCCAATCGGGATATAGGAAAAATTATAATACCACAGGACTTACTTTAGGAGTTGTAGAAGCTTTACGACATAATATGGATATGAAATTTGAATCTTTAGCAATAATTTTGGATTATTCCAGAGCGTTTGACTCC